CCCCGCCCCGCCCAGCCGGAGCCCGCCGGCCGCGCGCCTGGCTGGAGGCGGGCGGTGCTGCGGCCACGGTAGTCCCCGCCTGAGCCGCACGCCCACTCCGCGGGCTCCGAAAGGCCTTCCCGGCGGCCCATGCGCGGACGGCCCGGAGGACTTCCGGAGCGAGGTGACGCCGTGCGCTGTGTCTGCGCGAGCGCGCGGCCGGGGCGGGGGGCCGGCGAGCTCTGCTAACGGCTAGGCAGGCAGTTCTGGGGAGAGAGACCTACGGAAGGAGCGGAACTGGCGGGTACGTGCTCGTCGGACTCGCACTTCTGGGTGCTCGCCGCCTGGGGAGAACTGGGCGGAGAGACGGCCTGGCGTGCGGGGTGGGGCCGGGCGGGAGGCGGCGCCGCACGTGCCGCCCCCGAGGGACGGAAAGGCCGGCCCAGACGCGAGCCGGGGTCTGCTCTGGCAGTCATCTTGCTTCTCGCTTCTCCGAGGCGTTCGCTTAGGAGGGAGCACAGGATTGCTTTAGTGGCGCGTTTTCAGCAATTTGAGGGTACCTTTATACGCGTATCCGAACGTCCCCTGCCCTGACGTCCCTGGTGAGCCCCGCACTGGCTCATCTACCTGCTTGGTCCATGGACACCTGAAATGTCATTCGCTTGGCCTAACCGATTTCTCCTTCAGTCGCACCCCTTTCGGTAAATGACACTACCCATGGGTTGCTTAGTTTAAAAATTTAGGGAGGATTTTTATTCTTAGGTCCTCTTTTCCTTTACTTCCTAGGTAACAATTTATAAACCATGCCGGCTTCATTTTCGCTTTCAAAGTAAATCCCGAATCAGACCTTGTTTAAAACTCTCCAGTGGGGACCAGCAGGTGGCTTGAAAATCAACGCAGGTGTGTGCACACCCACGATCCCAAGAGGAGTATGGAGGCGAAGGGATTTCAGCGTGGCCCGCTCCCCTGGGGGATGATTTCTCTTTTCCTCTGTTGAGCACAGGCACCCTATAGCAAAAACCTAAAAAGCAAAACTCTCCAATGACTTAACAAAAGCAAACCCCATGTTTCACCCTCTCATCACCCGGCTAGTCACTCTTCCTTCCTATGCAGGCTGTAACCACAGAAAGGAACTTATAATCACTATTTCTTTTACCTGAAAGTCTCTGCTTCTAAATCCGTTTGTCTGACTCCAGGTCACTTAGTTCTCAGCTCAAATATTGGATCCTTGGTGAGGCCAACCAATCGCAGTTTTGACTCAACAACTAGTGTACTTGTTAACCTTTAGCACCCCCAGTATGGCTACCAGTGTTCTACTGTAGATATTGAAAATAAAAGGAACAAAAGAAAACCCTTTTGTCTAGGAGCTACTATTCTAATGGCCAGTTCTGAAGGGGCACAGAGGGACCAGCAGATGGCCTAATGGTTACGTTACTGGATTCCTAAGTAGTTGACTGCAGTATGAGTCCCTGAGCCAAAACTCAGGCTGGGATTGTGTGTTTATGTGCCTCAAATCCCAAGGGGAGAATGGAAAAGAAGGGACTCACCAGGTGGTTTTCCACTTTGTCTGTTTCTCTGGTGAGTGCATGTGCCCTATAGTAAAAATCTCTCTCAAAAATAAGAACAAGGGACCAGCAATTAGCATAATGGGTATGTCATCGACCACATAGTCTATCACAGTTTGCATCCCAGACCCGGTGGCTTAAAACTCACGCCGGGCGCATGTGCATGCATGCCCAAGATCCCGAGAGGAGAATGGAGGAGAAGGGATTGCGGCATGGCCATCTCCCCTGGGGGTTGATTTCTCGCTTTCTGTCTCTCTGTCTCTCTCTGTCTGTCTGGCAAGCACACGCGCCCTATGGCAAAAACCTCTCCAAAAAACAAATAAGAACAAAAGGGGGCACAGGGCAAATCAGAGATAGTGAGCAAAGGGAGAGTAGTAATGTAAGGGAAAGGGACTTTGCCAAGCAAATTCAGAAACCTTTGGAAACTGATCTAACCCAAGTTTTGAATGATAGTTACCACTCTGGCTACTATAAAGTCAGTAATTCAGGCCAGAAATAGTGGTGGCTTGAAATGAGGCAGTGAAAGAGTTGCAGAATAGTTTGATCATATTATGTTTCAAAAGTACAACTGGTAGGGTTTTCTGAGGAACTGGAAAATAGTGTGAGAAAATAAGGCGATAAGCTAAACTAGAGTGGGTATATCAGATGCATTTTCACCTTGGTGAATATTTTCAATTTACAATGGTTTATCGGGATGTAACCCTATTAGCAGTTGAGAACCTTCTGTACTTATTTTCTTTTTGCCCATAGACGTGCAGGTTTGAGTTGGGTTAAGAGAGTTGCTCTTTCAATGGAACTTTATAGGAAAGATCATTAGAAAGCTGAAGAAGATCCTATTCATGCTAGTCTTTCACTTATTTTTTTTTTATTTTTATTTTTAATTTTTTTTTTTTGCACTCGCCAGACAGAGAGAGACATAGAGACAGAAAGCGAGAAATCACCCCCCGGGGGGTGGTCATGCCACAATCCCTTCTCCTCCATTCTCCTCTCAGGATCTTAGGCACGCATGCACACGCGCCCAGCATGAGTTCTAAGCCACCGGGTCCAGGACACGAACCGCGGTCGACTACGTGGGAGTCCAGCGACATAGCCATTATGCTAACTGCTGGTTCCCTTTCACTTATTCCTTAAACATAGCTAGAGGCCTCAGTTCCTCTCCACATGGTTCTCTGTATGTGGTCTCTGTAGTCTGTACTGGCTTACAGAACGGTGTTGGTCTCTTTATGAGTGAGCATCCCAAGATGAGAGCAAGTGGAAGCATATCCTTCTTACAATGGTACTCAGCCTCCAAAATCAGTATACTTCTACCAACTTTATTCTTAGGAGCAGTTTCCAGTCTGCCTAGGCATAGAGAGGAAATAGACCAGAAGTACTGCCCGTGGTCATTTTCAGAAAATGCAATCTGTTACAGCTAATTTTTTAGGATTCAATTTTTAATGTTAAATACAGCCTTAAGTTAAAGTGAAATACTGATATTACCGTTCATTGAATCCTAGTATGTGCCAATCATTTTGTATATCCCTCTCCATCCTCTCCAGTCTTTACTACATTGTTGCAGAAGGTTGATACTGTCATCCCCAATTTAGAGATCAGGGAATTAGAGTGCAAAGAAATTGAGTGGCATGCTCTGGTTTAAGTGCTAGCACCCAGCTGTACCACAGATGAAAGAACATGCTTCTCTCTGCTGCTCTTGTTGTCTCTTAGGGTTTGTTGCTTGTAACATTTGCTTTATAAGAGAAGGAATGTTCTTTGTTGGTTATAATGTGTCGATTTTTACAAGATTTGGCCACAGTAGCAATTTTGAGAGCCTCATTAAAATTGGGCTTTCTTGGTAGCAATTTCTTACAAAGAAAGGGATTAGCATGGCTGTGAAATTAGGGGACAAAAGTGTTGATAACCAATGGCACGGTACTAGCATGTAACTTGGTTAATTTTGGTTATATGCAGTGCTTTTCTGGTGTCATATACCCTAAATATGTGCACGACTTGCTCCATAATTCAGGTTTTGGCTTAAAAGCTGCTGCCTCAGGAAGGGTTTTCCTACTTCTGTTTAAAGAGCCCCTCTCACTCTGCCTCTTTACTTTGTTTATTTTTCTTTTTCTCTTTATTGCTGGAGGGCGCGTGAGCTCACCAGAGTGAGACAGGAAGAGGGAGAAAGCACCCCACAGTGGGACACCATCGTGCTGCAATACCTTCTGCTCTGTTTCTCTTCCTGTTTGGATTTTGGGCATGCATGCACATACACCCCGTGTGTTTTTTAAGCTGCTAGGGCTAGGACTCCGACCACAGTTGACCATTTGGGACCTGGCTTCCTTTAACCACTAGACTATGGACCAGCCCTTCGACTTATTTTTCTTCACAATCTTTTTTTTAAAAAATATTTTATTTAACTTTATTCATTTATTCATTTTTATTTATTTTTAATTTGACCAGAGAGGGAGGGAGGGAGAGAGAGAGAGCGCGCACGTGTGCTGCCAGGTTCGGGACTTGAACCGTAGTCGGCCATGTGGGAGTCCAGCACCCTTAACCACCACACCACCTGCTGGCCCCTTCTTCATAATCTTTTATACCACTTGATTTTTTTTTTTAAATCAGTATATTCATTTGTTTACCTTTTTCCCACTGGAATGCAAATGATGATAGAGACTTTTTGTTTCATTTGCTACTATATTCCCAGTGTATAGAACGTGCTTGACTTATAGTAGTTGTTATATTCATACTACTGAATAAGCAAATGAATGAATGGATAACAGGAGCTAACCGGCCCATGCTGATGTGTGTGGTTGATTGGCTTCATTATGGGTTATTGCAAAAGTCATGACACATTTTTCTATGCAAAAATGTGTCATGACTTTTCAGATGGCGCAATATTTACTTCAGGAAGTAATTAAACACTTTGGCATTGCTATTTCTTTGCTTATATCCTAGGAGGCACTTAGAGGATCCTCTGCCCCACTACTGTAACCAGACCAGATGCCTTCTTCCGCTTCGCCAGATCAAGATGATGACCTGGAGGCCTGCGTTTTAAGATTCTCTAACCTGGATTTAAAAGATACAAATCTGATTAATCCTAGCAGCAGTCTCAAAGCAGAGTTAGATAGTGGCACAAAGAAGAAATACTCGTTTGCAAAGAAAAAGGTAAAGTTGCTTTCTGTTTTTCATGATCAGATATATGCAGGTGACACAGGTACATATAGAAATAGCTCATAGCGTTGCTGTGCAACTCTAGGTCAGGTCTGGGGCATTAACGATCAATGGTCATTCACTGCCAGGCACAGGCAAGTCATAGGCAAGGTGTAGCCCTGGGGAAGTTATGATGGAGCTCTGGGGGAAGGTATACCCAAGAGAAAAAATACGTCATGACTTTCCCGACAACCCAATACATGACCCGACTGAGGAAATACAATTGGATCTTAGTGCTCTTCCCTCCAGTCTGTTGTCCTCACCTTCAGAGCTATCTCTTACTGGTTACTGCTTCTACCTCAATGAAGATAGATGTCTGTGCTTTCTAATTTCCTGTTCATCACCCCTCCGCCCTCATCTTATGTACATTTCCTTGCAAATGAAACCCAAAGAGTATAAAAAAGTCTTAAAATATTTGGAAGAGCATTCCAGGCAAAAAGCAATGATACAGAAGCCTGCATATCATGTTTGAGCAAGAGTCTAAAATGATCGGAGATAAGATAGGAGAGGAATAGGAGGACCATGTTGGAACTTGTAGGCCATTTTAAGGACTTTGTTAGAACATGATAAGAGATTTTGGAGGATTTTGAGCAGAGGAATGCCATCTGATTAAGTTTTAAATGAATAATTTAGGCTGAGTTATGGGGATAAGTGTGAGAAGAGAGAGAGTAGGAGGCTATTGTAATAATGTAGGGAAGAGATGGTGGTGGCTTGGATCAACAGTGGTAGCCAAGGGAGGCAGTAAGAAGTGGTTGGACTGTAGATATATTTGGAGAGTAGAGCTGATGAGCTGAATGTAGGAATGGGAGTAAAAGAAGAGTTGAGAATATAGGACTAATATTTGTTTTTTAATATGCCTATCAGAGTGGGCTAACACCACTCTATTTTCTATAGAAACTATAAAATATATGTTAAATTCTGTTATATTTAGTCTTCCTTGGTGATTCTTGTAGAATTTCCTCACTTATTGATTATGGTGGCTTAAGCCATGGTAACAAGTAAACCGAGGCCTCTAATGAGTTTAATACAGTAGAGGAGGCTTTGTTCATGGAGTGAGTGGGGAGATCCTCATTTTCAGGGACCCAGGCTGCTGTTACCTCTGCAGTCCTGAAGATATAACTCGAAATTTCCATTCCCAATAAATCTGAAGAGGAAGAGTATGTAGAGAAGCATGGGAGGTTTTATGGACCAGAACTGGAGGTGTCGTGTGTCACTTGCACTTGTACATTGTTGGAAAGAATGTACTCAGCTATGCCTAAGTGCAGAGAAGACTGGGAAATACAGTTTCCCCAGGAAGAAAGGAAAATGGGTTTTGGTAGGCAGTAAGAAGTCTCCACACCTTGGCTGCCACATCAACTTTGGGAAAATTTCATCAGGTTCCTAAAGGATAGTGTCAGATTTTGTCTGTACCTGCCTTAAAGATGTGCTTTAAATCAGAGAACTAGCATCTCATGGTGCTTAGTCTTCACTGAATTAAGATTTTGGTGGGTCACAAAGGAGGAAGGTGTTCAGACACTAAAATTCATATAAGCAAAGCTGTAGACACAGGGATGTTTGAGTCGCATGAAAAGAATGAATGGACTGGTTCAATTGAACTAAGAACATTGTAAGAGAAAAATAATTCAAGACTAAGCTGAAAATAACAAGACCGGAGAACCCTTGTGAAGGAATGTCACCATCGGCATTCTGTACCAGGCAAGGACTAAATCTAATTATGTTGATTAATATTTATGTGATTCTTTATGGTTTACATTTTTCACATGAAGACTCAACACCTAAGGTTGAGTAACTTTCTCAGAGGAGTTGTTTCTTTTTTCATAGATATAAATAGTAAACAGCAGGGCCAGTATTTAGAATTCCAGACCCCTTTCTCGTGGAAGAATAAAAACAAGTTTTATAAAGATTCAATAGATGAAGAAACAGCATTTAGTAGGAGGATCAGAGACTGTTTCATGTCAGAGGTGGCCTCTAAGATGGAGTCCGAACATTTAAGAGCACGTCTGTAGAAGAGGGAACTAGATAGCACATTCTGTGTCCAGGGAACAGCATGGGTGAAAACGAGAAGATGGAGAGTGGGAGATGTCCAGGTGGGCCAGGATATGATGCCGTGCCTTCTCATTTCAACTTCAGTGTGTGGACTGCTGAAAGCAATATGAGGCCAAACTGTGTTGCATATGTTCCGGTGTGACTTAGAATCTTGCATCCTGAGGATAAAATTATGGTTCTGGGCATTACTTATCCTCCATAATATAAAGCCCCATTTTAGTTTGTCTAATAATATCTTCTAACACTTCTGACACTCTTCTAATAAAAGAACTGTTATTTTCTCAGGAAATTCTCCCATAGAATAACAGGACATGAAACTGTGGAAAGATAGTATAAAGGGTTTCATCGCAACTTCTGTTAGCCATAACCCGAGGTTTATGTGTTTGAAATGTAATTGCAGGCCTTTGCTCTTTTTGTCAAAACCAAAGAAGTTCCAGCAAAGAGGAATTTTGAATGTAAAGAAAAATGGTGGAAGTGCTGTCAGCAGCTATTCACGGACCAAACCAGCATCCATAGACATGTGGCAACACAGCATACTGATGAAATTTATCACCAGACTGCTGCTATTCTGAAGCAGCTGGCTCTGACATTGAACACCTCAAAGAGTCTTATGTGTACAGACCAAAAAAAACCACCGAAAGAGTGCCTTATTCTCAGCCATGAAATATCTGCTTGGCTCCCTGATATAAGCTGTTTTAGCCCTGATGAGCTGATAAGGTCAGATTTTTATTTTGTATTTTTATTTAAATGTATTATTCCAACCATGGGGCCAGCAGGTGGCCATGGGTTAAGGTGCTAGACTTTTGTATGGCTGACCATGGTTCAAGTCCTGGACCTGGCGGCTGGTTTTCTCACTTTCTCTCTCTCTCTCTTTGGTGAGTGCATGTGCCCTGTAGCAAATTAAATAATAATAATGAAATTAAATGTAATAATTCTTTTAAAGAGTACTATTCCAACCACAATGAGATATTAGCCTACTCACTATAATGGCTAAAATGAGAAGACCAACTCTGCCAAACGTGAATGAGGATGTGGAGCAACCAGAGCACCCACGTTTTGCTGATGGGAATGTAAAATAGCACGGCCATTTAGGAAGAGTGGCAGCTTCTTTTTAAAGTGAAATGTGCATAATTCCTATCACCCACGGCTGGACATATAACCAACAGAAATAAAAACTTAACGTCCACAAGAAACCTTGTACAAGAAAGTTTGTAGCAGTTTTATCTATAATAACAACAAAGTGAGACAGCTACAATGTTCATCAGTAGGAGAATGATTGAGTTGGTATAGTTGTCTAAGAATGCTGCATAGCTGGAACAGCTGTGGAAGCTCCTAGGCAGGAATATATACTAGTAAACTGTAAAATCCCCTTGCTGAATGAAAAAAGTCAAACAGAAGAGTACATATGTTCTGATTTCACGTACGTGAGGACAGAATGAATTTATGATGGTAAGTTGCTTTTAACAGTGTTTGATGGGGCTATACAAGAAGGGATTTTTTTTTAGATGTTCTGTGTTTTGATAAGGAGACGTGGGTTGCACATGTGTGTACCCATGCATCAGCACTGATCAAATTATACACTTAAGGGCTGTATTTAATTTGTGAGTTATACCTGTATTTCATTTTTTAAAATAGACGGATAGGTAAAAAATCCCCCACCCCAATTTTTTTGAAAAGTCCTCATAAAGAGGCCAGCAGGTGGCACAGTGGTTAAAGAGCTGAATTCTGGGACCAGCAGTTAGCATAATGGCTGTGTCGCTGGACTCCCACATAGTTGACCGCGGTTTGCGTCCCGGACCCGGTGGCTTAAAACTCACACCAGGCACGTGTGCATGCGTGCCCAAGATCCCGAGAGGAGAATGGATTGCGGCATGGCCATCCCCCCTGGGGGGTGATTTCTCGCTTTCTGTCTCTCTGTCTCTCTGTCTGTCTGGCGAGCGCACGCGCCCTATAGCAAAAACCTCTCCAAAAAAAAAAAAAAAAGTTTTAAAGAGCTGAATTCTCATGTGACTGACTGCAGTTCAAGTCCCAGACCTGGCAGCTTGAAAATCATGCAGGGCGCATGTGCATGCATGTCCAAAATCATGAGAGGAGAGCGGAAGAAAGGGGATTGTGGTGTGGCCATCCCTCCTGGGGGGTGATTCCTCACTTTCCCTCTCTTCATCTCTCTCCAGTAAGCACATGTACCCTATGGCAAAAACCCAAAACAAAACAAAGCAAAAAAGTCCTTGTAAGTGAGATTTCATCATCTGTAAAAGTCAGATAATTTCTGATATAAGTGCCCAAAATGTATCATTTATCAGGTTTTATTGGAGAAGGTAGTGTTCTACATAATGAATTTTTTAGCAAGTAGGTCAAGGGGGAACCAGCAGTTAGCGTAATGGCTATGTCGCTGGATTCCCACATAGTCGACCGCGGTTCGCGTCCTGGACCCGGTGGCTTAGAACTCACACCGGGCGCGTGTGCATGCGTGCCCAAGATCCCAAGAGGAGAATGGAGGAGAAGGGATTGCGGCGTGACCATCCCCCCTGGGGGGTGATTTCTCGCTTTCTGTCTCTATGTCTCTCTCTCTCTGTCTGGCGAGCACATGTGCCCTATAGCGAAAACCTCTCAAAAAAAAAAAAAAAAAAAAAGAAAGAAAGAAAGAAAGAAAGAAAGCAGGTCAAGGCAGCTTACCTTTTAAAACATCTCAACTTCCTTGATTTAACATTTTTAATTTAAGTGGAGTCTTTCAAACCATATTATACTCTTCTCTGACTTCCTGAACAGAATATAGTGAACATGATTGAACTTTTTTTAAGGGGTTTAATGCCATCTGTATCAACTTAAATAGAATGCCAAGGCATCAAAAGTAATTATTCAGGGTGAAAGAATCAGTATTGTTGGGTCTTCCTGGTTCTCCCTGAAATACAATTTTCTGTCTTTCACCTCTCCCTGGAGAAGATAATATGTAGGACAGCGTTTGAGAAACCTTGCCATTTCTACTTTAAATTTTTCTCATACTAAGAAGTTTCAAACCTACTATCTCGCCATCTCTCCTTTCTCTCTCCCCTAATTCTGGACCTAAACCCTCTGTATTAGTTATCTCTTGCCGTATAACTTCTTCTTCTTCTTTTTTTTTTTTTTTTTTTTGAGAGAGAAACTTTTACTATAGTGCACTCGCTGGAGAGGCAGAAACAGAAAGCGAGGAAACACCCTCCAGGGAGGATGGCCACGCTGCAATCCCTTCTCCTTCATTCTCCTCTCGGACTATTGGGCATGCACACACGCACACACCCAGCATGAGTTTTAAGTTGTCAGGTCTGGGATTCAAACCGTGGTCAACCATGCGGGGGAGTCCAGCAACATAACCACTATGCCATCCTCTGGTCCCCGTGTAACAACATTAACCCACACTTTAGCAGCTTAAGACAACAACCATAATTTCACAGTTTCTGAGGCAGGGTCCAGGAACATCTTAGCTGGGTTCCTGCTTCGGGGCCTCAAAAGCTGTAGTCATTTCAGTGGCCCAGCTGGGCCAAAGAGTCCATTTCTAGGCTCACATGTGTGATTGGTGGTAGACCTCAGTTTTTTCAGTGGCTTTTGGTCAGAGGCCTTCATTCCTCTCCAAAGGAGTCTCTCCAGAGGCTGCCTGAGTGTCCTCATGATATGACAGCCACCTAGAGCAAGGGATAGGAGAGAGATGGAGACAGCAGGACAGAAACCACAGTCTCCCATAGCTTAAGCTCAGAATTGCCATACCATGACTTCCTGATGCTGTTTATTGGTTACACAGACCAAACAGCACAGAGTAGGGGAGGACTACGCAAAGGTCTTAATCCTAGGAGACCGAGACCATCGGGGCCATCCTGGAGATGGTTACCATACCTCATAGTTGTTACTTTTCAGTGTGTGTTAGGTAGCAGCACTGCCTCCTGTCTTTACCCAGTCTGTCAGGCCAGAACTATTCAGTACTAAGCACAGCTAGACCTTAAAGCACAGAATTTCTCCACGGGCCTAAGTTAGGCCAATGAACCATGCATAGTGGAAGACCATAGCCCTTGCAGTAACATGTGCCCATCCCTGGGCAGTGTCTGCAAGGTTTCTCAGAAGCTGTCTTGCATATTACCTTCTCCAGGGAGAGGTGAAAGACAGAAAATTGTATTTCAGAGAGAACCAGGAAGACCCAAAGGTACTGATTCTTTCACCCTGAATAATGTCAGAATTCAGGAAGGATTTTTTTAGTACTAAATGCAGTTTTTTGAGCTGAAAAAAAAAATTTTTTTTTTTTTTTGAAAGGTTTTTCCTATCAGGCGTGTGCGCTCGCCAGAGAGAGACAGATAGACAGAAAGCAAGAAATCACCCCTCAGGGGGGATGGCCATGCCGCAGTCCCTTCTCCACCATTCTCCTCTTGATCTTGGGCACACATGCACACGTGCCCAGCGTGAGTTTTAAACCACCGCGTCCGGGACACGAACCGCGGTCGACTACATGTGAGTCCAGCGACATAGCCATTACGCTAACTGCTGGTCCCTAGCCGAATGTGTTTTAAGAAAGATGCTAACTTTTAGAACTGAACATCAGAATCCATAGTTCAGATTCTTCTTTTGAAAAACATACCAAATCAGAATCCTACAGAATTCCAAAGGACACATTTCCAACTTCAAGCAGTTTCTGAACTATTTGTGAATAGAAATCATCCAAACTTGGGGCCCACTTTATGAATTTTGACTTTCTCATGCCAGTGACTCAAATGCATTTCCTTCTAATTTACTTCTCATAGTGGCCAGGGCAGTGATGAAGGGGAGGTGCTACTTTACTACTGCTACTGCGACCTGGAGGATCCCCATTGGATCTGTGCCTGGCAGACAGCTCTGTGTCAGCACCTACACCTCACGGGCAAGGTACCACCATCTCCCGCACCCACACCCTCTTTTCCACTAGGTCATGCTGCCTCCTTAGACTGTAGTACCTGTGCTCATTACAGAAAGGATTTCTTGTTGGGTTCTTAGAAATTAGGGAAATTCTGATCTACATTCAAGTAGGATAGCAAACAGATACTAATATGGTGTTTATAAGATTATCCAATAACAAATATTTTCTTGAAGAGCCAGATACTAAATATTTTAGTCTTTGCACATTCACACAGATAGGACTGTTGTCGTGGTATGGAAACTACCATAGACAGTAGGTTAAAGAATGGGCATGGCTGTTTTCCAGTGAAAACTATGCAAAAGCAGAGATAATTTGTTGATCCATGGTATAGGGAAATGTTCAGAATATATTAACTAGAAGAACACTTTATATCTCAGTGCTAGAACAGGGCTTAACTATAGCAGGTGTTCAGTAAGTGTTTCGAGAATGTCTGGTAAAGGGATGAATGTTCATGAAATCATAAATGTGTGTATAAAGATGGAAGGGGGCATATATAAAAATGTTAATAGCAATTATCTTTCCATAATAAGGCATGGATTTTATTTTCTTTTTACTTTTATAAAATGTCTACTAGAAAGGCCAACTTAATGGTAGAGACAAGTTCTGACATATCAATAATAATGTTGAATGGTAACAGAAAGGTCAGGCCACAGTATACTACAAATTCACCAAAAGAGATGACACGAAACTGAACTGGTAAAATAGAATTCGATGACTTTTTTCTAGAATATTACTGATTTTCTTCTATACTTTGTCTTCCAGATTTAAGGATTTTTGTTTTCTTTTGTGTTGTTGGATTCAGCAATTTTTTAAAGAATTTTTTAAATTGAAACAAACTTTTCTCCTTCCCTGATCCCTTTGCAATTGGAAAATATTTGTGAGCATTCTTATTTTGTGGCAGAATGGTTATTTGCATAAGTTCAATAATACAATAGTATCTGTTGCCTTGCATCAGAAATTGAATTCTTATGGGGCTTTGTGCAAATAACAGACCAAATTGAGATTAACCTAATTTTTTTTGCAAATAAGTTAGTTTATACCTCTCTTAAGTAAAAGGAGGAATTGAGAAAAAAAAATTGTTTCAGAAGAAAATTACAGCACACTTGTCACTAGATTCTAGCTTTGTCCATACTTTGAGATCTTTTGTGAATCAATAAAATGTGGAAAAAAAAAAAGTTTAGTATGGAAGAGAAGGAGGGGAAAGGGGAAGGAAAAAACAGATAAAAGTATGTTTAGTTGACAAAAAATGAGAAGCTATTTACTCTTGATAATGTATATAGTAATATCCTTATCTTGACTGACATGTATGGTTTCTGTGTTGGAAAAAGAAATGTATACTATAAAGACATGATAAAATGTAAAAAAAAAATGTCTACTAGATTACATATACTGGGTCATTGAAAAAGTCATGATTCATTTTTGCCTAGAAAAACATTAAAAAATATGTCGTGACTTTTCCAGTGACCTAATATACGCCATGTATGACTGTAGTGTTTAATTTTCAAAATTTAATCAGAATGAACTAGGTTTATTTGATTTAGATCAAAAGGAATTGAACTAGGTTCCTCTTTTGACACCGTACGCCTTATCTCCCTCATATATATCACAGGTTTTAATTGATTGGTGAGTTATATTTTCCACACCCACATTTCCTAACAGGTAATGATTTCTTTTTTTAATACCCCATTCAGTTCTTTACCAAGTCTTGCCATTTCTACTTTAAAATATCCCTTGGCTCCATTCACTTCTCTGTTCCTCTTCTATCCCATTAGACCAAGCTCTCTCTCTCTCTTTTTTTTTCTTGAGAAGTTTTTGCTATAGGGCGTGTGCGTTCGCCAGACAGAGAGACAGAAAGCGAGAAATCACCCCCAGGGGGGATGGCCAGACCACAATCTCTTCTCCTCCATTCTCCTCTCGGGATCTTGGGCACACACGCACATGTGCCCGGCATGAGTTTAAGCCACCTGGTCCAGGACTCGAACTGCAGTCGGCTACATGGGAGTCCAGTGACATAGCCATTACGCTAACTGCTGGTCCCTCCAAGCCCTCTCTTACCTAGTTCATGCAGTAGCTTCCAAACTACTCTCTCGTCTTCCACCCTTGCCTGCCATTTAATCCATGTTCCACATGGCAGACAGAATGATCTTAAGGTAATTAGAATCATATCACTCCTCGAAATCTTTCAGTGGAATAGACAAATCTTTAACATGCCCTTTGGTTCCTGCTTGATTTGGCCCCTTCCTTTCTATTTATCTCAGCTCATTCATCACTCTACACTCTCAGCAACATGATCCTTTAGTTTCTTGGGATTGGCCTTTTTTTTTTTCCTTTGGGACTTTTTACAAGCAAATTCTTTTCTTCTTTTTTCTTTTTTGAGAGGTTTTTGCTATAGGATGCTTGTGCTCACCAGAAAGACAGAGACAGAAAGTGAGAAATCACTTCCTTGGGTGGATGGCCATGCCGCAATCACTTCTCCTCCATTCTCCTCTCAGGATCTTGGGCACACACACACACGTGCTTCTACGACTTGAACTGCAGTTGACTACATGGGAATCCAATGACATAGCCATTAGCCTAACTGCTGGTCCCTAGAGGCAAATTTTTAGTCTTGGTCCAGATCATGTGGTGACCTGGCAGTGAGGGGTCAATCCTATCCACAAGGTGGCAGCATCTGCTTGGATTCCCAGGCTTCAAGGCTATGTACCCTATTTACTGAGAGAGTTTTATGCTGGTACAAGATTTGACAGAATGTTTGTACTTAGAGGAGGAAAAGAAGGGGGGAAATGCTGGAATTATGGAAAGAAGTTTCTATTGCTATACATTTCTTATTGTCTTAAGAAATTTGAGGGGAGGGAACCAGCAGTTGGTGTAATGGCTATGTCGCTGGACTCCCACGTAGTTGACTGCGGTTCGCGTCCCGGACTCGGTGGCTTAAAACTCACGCAGGGCGCGTGTGCGTGCGTGCCCAAGATCCCGAGAGGAGAATGGAGGAGAAGGGATTGCAGCGTGACCATCCCCCCTGGGGGGGTGATTTCTTGCTTTCTGTCTCTCTGTCTCTCTCTGTCTGGCGAGCGCACGTGCCCCATAGCAAATACCTCTCCAAAAAAAAAAGAAAAGAAAAGAAAAAAATTTGAGGGGACACATTGGGGCTCTGGAAAGGAAAACATCCAGTAAGATCTGATGGTAGTTCTTATATCTACCACCCACCAACTTTGCGCCCTTGGACAAGTGACTTGACTTCTCTGAGCTTCCATTTCCTTTTCTGTAAAATGGGGATTACAATATCTACCTTTCAGAATTGTAATGTAAAGCTCCCATCTCATAGCAGATGCTTAATAAATACTAACTAGTGCCTTTTTTGATGTTTTAGGTATAAAGCCTTTCTCACTAAGGAGCTTCTTTCAAGGATTTCTGTTGAATCCTTGCTATTGAAAGTCTGGTACATGAGTTTAGAGATTGCTCTGTCCTAGCTGAATAGGTTCGCTTGTCTTTTATTTGGCTTCTATTAAAATAAAATCACAGAGACTCTACAAGCCTACTCAAAGACAATTACATAGAAGTATGTGCTTCTTATATTTGCCACAGAAAAAAACCGTTTCAGAATGGATCTCCTGACCCTTGCACTAGTTCAGCTCTGTTTTCCTTTCTAGTCCGCCATAAGTTGGTTGTGAGGTAGTGGTCTGTGCAGCAGTGTATCCCCACGGCATACACTTCCCACTTTCTCCTCCAGGCCCACAGCAGCCTGTAGTCTGTAGCACTCTTTCTGAAGGAATGTGGATGTGATCTGGAATCTTTATTATGGAACTCTGGATAGCTACTACAAGTGAGCTGGCATTAGCTTATGAGATGAGTCCTATTTTATATCCATGCTCTAAGGAATTGGATCAAGTAAGACAACAACTCAGATATTTTCTCTGGACCCAGGTATCGTTGATATGTGAATAGTAGTAACAATCTAGGGCCTTGAATTACATCAGCTGCTTCCGTAGAGTACCACGATACCACATAGTTGCTGCCCTTACTAGCACTTTTCTTAGGAGAGTTTATCTCTCTTTAAAGATGATCCATCTTTAAACTCATGCAAAGGGTGTTGTAGTCTCAAAGCACCCAGCTTTGCAGGGCCTCTCTGGAACATGGCCCCGTAAGGCAGGGGCCTTACTTATCCCAGGTTCTCATTTTCCTGATCTTGAAATGTTTCAAAGAGAAAACAAGGTTTGAGAAGCCAAGGAGCTCTAGATATGGGTATTCAGTAAATACATATCAAGTGCCTGCTGTGTGACAGGCACTGTTCTAGGCCCTGTGATATATTTGTGAACAAAACACTCACCTCTGGAGCTTGGATTCCAGTGGGTGGGCTTGCAGTGGTGGGTTTTCCCTGAGACACCATGCAGACTTGCATTATTTCCATGATGTGTTCTCTGCCTTAGGATTCAAATACTATCTCCTCAGCAGTTTTTAGTTTGGGTGCTTTTTTATTCTTTTCTCTGAACATGGAGAAATTAAGGTTCAGAGAAGTCCATTAAATTTCTCAGGGTGGGGACCAGCAAATGGTGTAGCAGTTATGTCACTGGACTCCTACAAGGCCAACGGTGGTTCAAGTCTCAGACCCTGTAGTTTGAAAATCATGCTGGGCACGTGTGCATGTGTGCCCAGGATCCCAGGAGAAGAATGGAGGAGAAGGGATTGTGGTATGGCCATCCCTCAGGGGATGATTTCTCACTTTCCTCCTACTGTCTCTGTCTGTCTATCTGTCTCTCGGTCTATCTGTCTCTCGAGCGCACACACCCTAAGACAAAAACCTCTAAAATAAATTTCTCAGGGCTACTTGTCAAGCAAGTGACCAAGCTGAAGTTTGATCCTAGTTCTCTGGCCTCTCTGGAAGACTCTTTTAAGCTATATAAATTTGGGTTAAGCTCAAAATTCACTTCTTTGACCATTGGATGATTGGACCTCCATAGCAAATGGAGCTTCCTATAGGTTTGTTTGTTTGTTTGTTTGTTTGTTTTGAGAGGTTTTTGCTATAGGGTGTGTGTGCTCACCAAACAGACAGAGAGAGACAGACAGAAAGCGAGAAATCATCCCCCAGGGGAGATGGCCATGCCGCAATCCTTTCTCCTCCATTCTCCTCTCAGGATCTTGGGCATGCATGCACTCACACCTGGCATGAGTTTTAAGCCACCGGGTCCGGGACTCGAACCGCGGTCCACTACGTGGGAGTCCAGCAATATAGCCATTACACTAACTGCTGGCCCCCTATAGGTTTTATTTACTTGTTGAGCACACATTAATTAAATAATTTATCTGAACTATGGGCCATGCTATTTTAGAAAACTCAGATAGCTTAGTCTGGTTAACACTTCGGTGTCCACAAAGTATCTGCTTTTCCTTTAAATTCATTGACATACATGAACCTTTTGTTCTGCCATGGAAAGATAACTAAGCTAAAAACAGGCCGTATCTCCTTTTTCTTACCATCTTGTGTCTCAGGTTCGAGTTGCTACAGAAGGAATCAATGGGACAGTTGGTGGAAGCAAATTGGCCACTAGACTCTATGTGGAAGTCATGCTTTCTTTCCCATTGTTTAAGGATTTTCTTTGTAAGGACGATTTTAAGGTAAGAGAAGCTGAAAATAAAATGGACCTAGAGTTGTATGCTTCTGTGTCAATGTAGGTTATTGAAGAGAATGTTATTGTAAAAAGAGGAATGAGCAATGCCAGATAAATACCCCTCCCCTTTAGGTTACAAGCAATGTAGTAGGAGAAGCTACTCATCTCCATTTTCCATTGAGTCCCCATGTGATTTTGGGCAAGTTGGTGCCCTCCCTAGACCTCAGTCTCTATTGTAAAAAAAAGAATGTACAGCTTACATCATCTAGAACTCTGATACTTGGTCATGTTTACTCACTTAAGAGATTACCTGCTTATTTCAGCAGATGACTGCGTTAATACACATGGAATTATGAGATTAACCCTTCATACCACACTAGAAAATAAAGCTGTCGCTCTCACAGCTGAGCTGCTTTGAGTGACCTTATGCCTTACTGTAGCAGGTGATAAGGTGATGGGAAATGCCTTGCTTGTTCATGGCAGTAGATGGTCATTGCTCCAACAGAAAGGTAGAGTGTAATCCCATGTCCGAATTGCTCAGAGGTGGCTTCAGTTCAGCAGTTAAATGCTTATAGTCCTAGAACTACCTTTCAGTTTAACATCTTACACATGGCAGGTACACAATGAATGTTTCTTAACGTTGAGTGGAACGTTTGGGCCCTATCTCATGAGGATTCCTAATTTTTTTTCCTAATTTAATCTCTAGCTATCTTATTATTATAAGACAGACCATAATTCTTATATTTGACATTTGTCTTATACCTGGAGACGAGACAGGAAGACTGTATTCTGTTTTGTTTCTCATTGGCTAGACCAGCAAAGGAGGAGCACACTGTTTTCCAGAATTGCGTGTTGGTGTTTTTGAAGAAATTGTGCCCATGGGGATCAACCCCAATAAGATCTCCTACAAGAAACCTGGTATGCTTGCTTTTTAGAAGAACTGTACTTTCTGTCTTCGGTACAAAACTTGATAGACAAATAAGAAAGTTACTAATAGATACTGTGATAGGCAATAGTCAGAGAGTCCTCTCTGTACACCGCTGTGGGGAGCTAACACTGGATCCGTCCAGTGCTTAAATTGACTCATCTCTGTGGTGGTGTGGTAATTGAAGAATGGCCTGTCTTATTCTTCTTGGTAATGTTTTACTAAGAAGTCATTTTCTCTTTCCAGAGAGCATTTGGGGAAGAGAATAATTAGTATCTGCATGTAGTTCCTCGGTGGGATAGAGCACACAGGCTTTCTGCCGCTGCACGCGAGTGGCTTTCAGCACTGCAGTTGTTGACAGTGCTCTACAGTGTCCTCTCCCTCTGCCCCTTGGTTACAGTAGATGATCAAAAGTGACAAGGATTTTTCTTCGTTTTACTATTCCTATGAACTGTTTCAAATATTTAAAGAAGCAGAGAAAATAGTGCAGTTGATTTCCATGTGCCTATCATGCAGCTTCAGCAGTTACTAATTTGTGGCCAATTTTCATCTATATCATGACCCCTTCTCCCATCCTGCATTTTGAACATCAGGCCATTTTATTTATAAATGTTTTAGTAGATACCTCTAAAAGATAAGGATTCTTAAAAAAAAAAAAAAACTATAAAACTGTTACCACATCTAGAATATTTTAATAGTAATTCCTTAATATCAAATATCTAGTCAGTCTAGTCAGTCAATTCCCAGTAAACAATTTTTAATTTTTTTCTATGAGCAGGGCCAGCAGGTGGAGTGGTGGTGAAGGTGCTGGATCCCACATGGCCAGTAGAAAGCACTCTGGGCATTTGTGTGTGCATGCCCCCAATCCCAAGAGAATGGAGGAGAAAGGATTGCAGTGTGGCCATTCCCCCGAGGGGTGATTTCTTGCTTTCCCTCTCTCGCTTTCTCTGATAAATGCACACACCCTATAACAAAAACTAAAGAAAATTTCTATTAGAATTCAAATAAGATTCATTCATTGCAGGTCATCAGTATGTTTTATTAACTGTTTAACCTATGGATTTGCCTCTATCTTTTTTCTCTGTTGCAGTTGATAATTTTTTTCTTTTTTGAAGGAACTGTATTACTTGGCCTTTAGGATTTCCCATAATCTAGGTAATGCTAACTGCATCCCATGGGATATTCTGTCCTCTGTATTTCTTATAAATTGGTAGTATAGTACTAACTAATGGAAATATAATTTAAACTACGTAATATAATTTACATTTTAAAAGTAATAAGAGAATTAAAATAATATCTTTATTTAATCCAGTTATCATTTAAAAATGTCAGCAACATGTGAAATTTTTTTTTTTATTTGGGGGAGAGGTTTTTGCCATAGAGCACGTGTGCTCGCCAGGCAGACAGAGAGAGACAGACAGATAGAATGCGAGAAATCACCCCCCAGGGGGGATGGCCATGCTGCAGTCCCTTCTCTTCCATTCTCCTCTCGGGATCTTGGGCACGCATGCACATGTGCCCGGCGTGAGGTTTTTTTTTTTTTTTATTTTTTTTTATTTATTTATTTATTTTTTATCATCATATCTTCTTCATATTACATTGGATTACATATAACTTTACTGTGTATTACATTGTTTCTTCAAAAGGGAATGCCATGCACGTCAGTCAGTACAGAGACATTAATCTCCCCACTTCAACATTCCATATCTTTTCTGTTTTCCCCAATCATTATCTTTATTATTCTAATTATTTTTATAAAACAGTCAATTGCTATTTCTCGTTTTGCTTGTAAAAATACTTTGCCCATCATGAAACACTTCTCAGACCAATCCAGTTGAGAATTCTATACATGTCATCATCAACAGTTAATAAGCCCTATCTGTTTCTCACTAACGTCCTGTCTCTCTATTGTTCACTTGCTATCTTTCTCTATCCTCTTCTCTTCACTTACCCCATTCCACACTGTCCTATTCTCATTAAGTACCTTCACTGTGTTTATGTCCTCCGAATTTTTGCTCTCTATTATAGAGTGCGGATAGTCGGTATATATTGAGTGGATACATACAATATCTTTCTTTCATAGCCTGGCTTACTTCACTCAGCAATAGATCCTCCGTATCTGACCATTTTCTATCAAATTCCAGGGTCTTGTTATTTTTTATGGCTGAGTAGTATTCCATAGAGTATATATACCACACTTTTCCAATCCATTCATCAGTTTGTGGACATTTAGGTTGGTTCCATGTCTTGGCAATTGTGAATAATGCTGCAATAAACATGGATGTGCAAGCACTTTTCTGACTGAGCGTTCTCCTGTCTTTTGGGTAAATACCCAGAAGTGGGATTGCTGGATCAAATGGTAGTTCTATTTGTAGATCTTTGAGGAACCTCCATATTGTTCTCCACAGTGGTGCGCGCGCGGCTGGCTTTTTCTCCCCGGCATGAGTTTTAAGCCACTGGGTCTGGTATGCGAACTGCGGTCGACTACATGGGAGTCCAGCGACATAGCCATTATGCTAACTGCTGGTCCCTATCAACATATGAAATTATTAGTGAGGTTTTTTTTTCATACTAAGTCCTTGAAATTCAGTGTATGTCACACCTATAGCACCTCTCAGGCCACATCTCAAGTGCTTATCAGTCACACGTGGCTAGTGGCTCCCATATTAGCTCAGGACAGGAGACTGATCAGGTTCCGATTTGATTGCTTTTTTTCTTCTTTTTCTTCCCTATCCAAGGCTAGTTCATGGAGGACTGTTGTCTTCTTTCATCAGGAAGCCGATGAAAGAAGTTGATTCTAGTTGATTCTACAGTGTTCATTTTTTTGAGAGAGAGTTTATGCTATAGGGTATATGCGTTTACCAGAGACACAGAGAGAGATGGAGAGAGATAAAGTGAGAAGTCACCCCCACCCCTGCTGGGGGTCGTCCACACCACAATCCCTACTCCTCCATACTCCTCCTGGATTTTGAACAACTCATGTACGTGTGCCTGGCGTGAGTTTCAAACTACCAGGTCCAGGACTCGAACCACAGTCGGCCATGTGGGAATCCAGCACTTAACCAGTATGGCACCTACTGTCCCCAGTGTTTATATTTTAACATGTAAATATTTAAAGAGGACCAAGGGTTAAGCTATTGGGACATGGGAGTGAGATAGAAACATCTGGGAAAAGAGACTCATGCATGAGGAGATAAGGGACAAAAAAGGCATGTCTGCTCATGTCCCCATCTTAGCAGGAGGCAGTATGCCTAGAAAAATGCCTTGGAGTTTAAGGGAGACAGATTCCAGGCAGTGCTATGCTGCTTTCATTTGAACCAAGTTGTTTAAAGAACCTTTTTTTTTTTTTTTAAAAGAATTTACTTTTTAATTTAACTTTATTTATGTATTTATTTTAATTTGACCAGAGATGGGTAGAGTATGAGAGAGAGAGGGAATGTGAGAAAGCAAGCCACCAGGTCCAGGACTGGCACCACAGTGTGCCATGTGGGAAGTCCAGCACCTTTAACCACCATACCACCTGCTGGCCCCTAAAGCAACTTCTTTTAAACATGTTCGTGTGAGTCACTGTGCAGCCAGGCCTGCCCAGGGCCAAGAGAGCAACAGAGTGATAGCAGCCACAGGGAAGAGGTCCGGTACCCTGTGGCACGTGCTGGGAGAAGCCTTAAATTTCTGTGCTGCTCACCACATTCTTCAGCCTCCCTGTCCATCTCACTGTTTTAGCATCTGTGTAGTTATGAGACAGTAACTTATGTGGACCCTGATTGTTATAGTCTTTCTAAAGTCCTGGGTTGGGGTTGGGTGGGTGGCAATCCAGTCCCAGGCCATACTCTGGGCCCTTTTGGTGTGTGGCAGTTTTTTCCAGGTGACTGTTGGAGTTCATCTTTGAGCGAGTGAGGTGCACGTGGTCCTGGAGAGCTCTTTCATCAGTGGAGGCGCCTGAGTTATAAGAGCCCCTGCCTGTGAAGCACAGTCACCCTCCACTCCCAAATTCACCAGAAGTTCCTCACTGCCTCCTGAGAGGTCTGGACCCCCAGAGAGCAAAGATTCAGAAATTTTCTATCCTGGAGAGTCTAGAGGCAGAGTGCCCCACCAGATTAAGGCTCTCTCCTTTTAGTACCCTCTTTAATGTAGTCGTGTGCCACATAACGATGTTTTGACAACAGTGGACCATTTATGGTGATCCAATAAGACTGTCATAGGCTGTACCATAGAGCCCGAATGTGTGGTAGGTTACACCATCTAGGTTTGTGAAAATATTCTGGTGTTTACATGATGACAAAATTGCCTAAAGACACATTCATACCAGTCATTAAGTGACGCATGGTAAAGTTCATCTTTTTCTCCTCCATCTTCTAGCTTTTTTTGTTTTCTCTTGCCTTCCATATATGTCATTTTTTTTGTTAATCTCTCTCGCCCGTGTCTCTTTTACTCATGCATACACACTTGGACTCATTCTTCATATCCTTTTGCATTTTAAGAAAGCACTTTGCAATTTTATTTTACAACTTGATGTTTACACTTGCCTTGTCAGTGTTCTTAGCCTTGAACTTGGGTTTGATCTTATAGAACAGTTTACACAGAAGAGTAAGGCACCTACTTGCCCAGGCTCCTCCATGTACAGTGATAGCAGAATAGTGTCTGTTTCCTAACTCACTAGTGACTGTTCTGTGGACCAGCAAACCCACCTTCCAATGTAGATCCATTATCTGTTTTAGGGTTGATTTCTCTATCCCATCAGGATGTTATACACACACACGTATATGTGCATGCCTGGCATATTTTTTGAGCTGCCAGGACTGGAATTAGGGGTTAGGCCAAGTGTGAAATCTGGGGTTAGGCCAAGTGTGAAAAAGCAAAACTCTTCGACTCGTTATTTCTGAACTGTCAGGTCTCTGTAGTCTTATGAGAAAGAAGGGATTGAGGATACCAGAAATACTCAATTATCTCACCACGATCTTCAAATGTTATTTTCAGACAGATTTAATTATGAAGGGAAGAGGTTTGGAAAGAAACAAAGCAACATCTAAGTCATACCAGGCCAGTTGTGATCAAGTTTAGTTTTGTTTCTATTTTATTTTGCTATAGGGCTCGTGCGCTTGCCAGACAGACAGAGACAGAGAGCCAGAAAGCGAGAAATCACCCCCCGGGGGGATGGCCATGCCACAATCCCGTCTCCTCCATTCTCCTCTCGGGATCTTGGGCACGCACGCACACATGCCCAGCGTGAGTTTAAGCCACCGGGTCCGGGACTCAAACCACGGTCGACTACATGGGAGTCCAGCAACATAGCCATTATGCCAACTGCTGGTCCCATGTTTCTATTTTATTTTAACGTATATTTTTGGCTTGGTTTCAGGAGTCCATTTATCCCCAGGTGAATTTCATAAAGAAGTAGAACATTTTTTATCTCAGGCAAATCAAGAACAAAATGATACTATCCTACTGGATTGCAGAAACTTCTATGAAAGCAAAATAGTAAGTAAGAACTATAATTGAACTCTGACATGGTGGGCCTGCCGACAACAGGCAGATTTCCCAAGGGTATGTGCCCGTCTGTGGCCACAGGGCTCCCCTCCTGGGACAAGCAGCTTTCAAGAAAACCCAAGCCCTGGACGTCAGGATCTGGTGAGAAAGCTTAAGGAAAAGAGTAAAGACATGTTGGCACATGGTATGCTTTTTTGACTCCCATGAGCCAAGGTCAAGGATATTGTAAAGCTGGCTTTGGGCAGCCTCTCTGGTTTACCCAAACTCAGGCTTTTAAGTTCCAGATCTTGGCGTTGGGAGGTCAGAGTGTGGGATGAAAACAGCAGCTGGCAAGTGCTGCTTCGCCAGGGTGGAGGCTGGTTACTTGACACAGAACCTTTATTTCTCTGATTATATTTCTTCTGCTGCTCTTATGTTGTAGGGACGATTCCAGGGCTGTTTAGCCCCAGACATCAGGAAATTCAGTTACTTCCCTAGCTACGTTGACAAAAATCTAGAACTTTTCAGAGAGAAGCGAGTGCTAATGTACTGCACCGGGGGCATCCGTTGTGAGCGGGGTTCAGCCTACCTCAAAGCTAAGGTAGGCCACCACCCACCACCCTTGGGGTGCTTGCGGGCATGGAGATGGAGGCACCCCCCCACAGCCTGTGTGCAGCTTTCAACCACACCCCATGACCTCTCCTACCCCTAGCCAGCTGAAGGATTCCTTTTCCCCTCTTAGGGTTCCAGCATAGAGCTTGTAAGTATAAAAATCTGAGCTGCTTAAATCTCAAGATGTAAAAAGCACTTAGAAACCTTAGAGACTCATCAAGTATAAAAGGGAAAGATTAGTTACTGTCTCCCTTTCCCTAATCCGTTTGCTTGATCCCGAGAAGAGCAAATTCAGTAACATTACATGTCCCAACAGGTGTCCTCCTATATTTAGGGGGCAGCAAAAATAGTTGGGCTTCTCAGCATCTTAGAGGATGAAGGCCCTGCCTGCTGTCATCACCCTCCCGCTAGGAGGCGAGGTCTGGCCAGTTGGTTCCTTGACCCTTGGTCAGCAAGACCTCAGTGTCCTACAGGAGAAGACCAGCAGTCCCCAGTGGATAGCAGAGGCAGCGAGTCCTCTGCTTTGGCATGCCCCACCCTGCACCACTCTCCTGGGTGCTTTCTATGAGTCTCTTCAGATCTCCTGTTGTTTTTCCATCCCTAGGGAGTGTGCAAGGAAGTATACCAGCTCAAGGGTGGCATCCATAAGTACCTGGAAGAGTTTCCTGATGGTTTCTACAAGGGGAAGTTGTTTGTTTTTGATGAGCGTTATGCCCTGTCCTACAACAGTGATGTGGTATCAGGTAGGTGAGCAGAGCCCAGCCTGAAACCAGGCATGGTACCAGTTCACCATTCTGGGAAAATGACACAAAGAAAGGCCAGTGCTACTTACCTGAAGAATAATCAGGAAGAAAATTACATTGTCCCACCATTTTTTCCGTTGTTGGAGATACAGCCTGAGACAGACAGAGCCCTGAACCAGAGGGTAGGAGCCTGTCTTGGGAGCCTGGGTTTCCCAGTTACGAGCAGGTCCTTTAACATGGGGGTAGTAGCACCTATCCTTCCTGCCTGCCCAAAACTGGACTCACAGGCTGTGTCAGGAGTTCTAACCTGGCGTGAGTATATAGAATTCAGGAGGTCTGTGGATCCGGGTGGATGGGAAAATAACTATGACTTTGTCATAATTTCTCAGTGGGAGCAAGCATTTCCTCCAGTTGTACCAGTTCTACCTGCAGCCTTGTCTGTGGTAGAATCCCCAGCACTTTCGTATCACATTATGTTTGATGCGGATATCTCAAAATAGCATTTATACTCGTCACAGCTTCAAAACGGAAGTCATTATTAGGCCCACCACTAATAATGTCATTTAATGTGTTAATATATACCACATATCTCACTATTGTATACAGTTTTTTTTTTTTTTGGAGAGGTTTTTGTCATAGAGCGCGTGTGCTCGCCAGACAAACAGAGAGAGACAGAGAGACAGAAAGTGAGAAATCACCCCCCAGGGGGGATGGCCATGCCACAATCCCTTCTCCTCCATTCTCCTCTCGGGATCTTGGGCACACACGCACATGTGCCTGGCGTGAGTTTAAACCACCGGGTCCGGGACTCAAACTGCAGTCAGCTATCTGGGAGTCCAGTGACATAGCCATTATGCTAACTGCTGGTCCCACTATTGTATACATTTTGAAAACTATTTTTTATTGCCAAAGGACATGTGTACTCACCAGAGAGAAAAAGCACCCTCAAATAAGGTATGGTCACACTGTGGTCCTTCTTTCTTGACTTCTCTATCCCATCAGGATGTTATACACACATGTATATGTGCATGCCTGGCATAGTTTTTGAGCTGCCAGGACTGGAATTTGAATTGTGGTTGGCCATGTGGGCCCAACTCCCTTATGTACAGGCCTTAAATGCTGAGCTAAGCAGCCTGCCCTGAAAGCCATTTTGATTTCTGTACAATTGTTGCTTATTTTTTTTGTAATCCTATGTATTTTATTTTATGCATTTAAGAACATTATCCTAAAGGTCCATAGTCATCACCAGATTGCCAAGTAAATTGTCCCATGATATAAAATAAGAGCAAGCATGCCTGGGTTAGCTGCGCTGTGTACATGTGGTGAGTGATGACTGGGCTTTCTAAAATGAGGGCTGAACCTGTGGCCCAAGGCCAGAGACGGGTGGCCACAGGGAGTAGTGAGCTAGAAGCATGGGTTTGACTGCAGTGTGGAGTCTACACTGAAGTGTGATTCTTGGTGAGGGAAGTCTATAAAAGGAATAAAATAAAATTCATTACCTGTTTTCTGGGTGGGAAAAAGAAAAAAATGAATCTGGATACTGGAATCAGAAAGACTATTCCCCGAAGCTATATCCCTCTAAAACAAAACACCCAGAAACTAGGGAGGCTTTATTGTTGTTAGAAGATGTAAGTTACTACTATTTAGAAACTTAGAAACTTCCCTGGGCCTAGCAGAGTATGTTAGATTCCAGTGAGCTGAGAGTTCCATTTAGGGATTGGAGTGTGTGTGTGTGTGTGTGTATGTGCGCGCGCGCGTGCGTATTTATGGTGGGTTTTTCTTTCTCCCCCAGAATGTTCATACTGTGGTGCCCAGTGGGACCAGTATAAGCTCTGCTCGACTCCCCAGTGCCGTCAGCTTGTACTGACCTGTCCTGCCTGTCAAGGACAAGGACTCACAGCCTGTTGTGTCACATGTCAAGACAAAGGGGCCAGGCAGGCTTCAGGCCCCACCCAGGACAACTTTAAAGAGGAGTGTGAGTGTACAGCTCGACGGCCACGCGTACCAAGGGAGTGCCCACAGCACATGCGCCTCCCTGGGAGCCCAGAGGCCAGGCCTGATGGGGAGGACAGACTTTCACTTGTGTGAGCCGCCCCCATGGGTCCTTCCCAACTTTTACAAGTAGGTAAGGGCAGCCATGCCAAGGAGGATGTCAAGGCTGCATAAACAGTGGGAGCGTGGCGTTGGTCAGTCCATCCTGCAGATTGGTACTGGCCCCCTCTACTTCATGAGGAGAGAGGGAGTTGGGCGTTCTGACTCTGAAAATGCTAGAGCACAGAATGGGGTTGAACTGCACCTGGTGACCATGGTCTCTGCCATGGCGGCAGAAATGAGAGCTAAGACCGTGGCAGTGGACTCCTACACTAGGCCACTTTAGTCCTCTGCCATCTACCCTACCTCTTTCTCTCCTCTGAGGTTTCAGGGATGTGGCCGCTATGGCACTTGGCCTCCTGCTGCTTTTGTTAACAGTTACTGAGACGTTGCAGACACCACCACCCAAGTCTCTCGCCCTCAACCATGGTCAGTCCCGCCATGTTCTTTGACATCACTGTCAATGGCAAGCCCTTGGGCTGCGTCTCCTTCAAGCTGTTTGCAGACAAAGTTCCAAAAACAACAGAAAACTTTCGTGCTTTGAACACTGAAGAGAAAGGATTTGATTATAAGGGTTCCTGCTTTCACAGAATTATTCCAGGGTTTATATACCAGGGTGGTGACTTTACATGCCATAATGGCACTGGCGGCAAGTGCATCTATGGTGAGAAATTCGATCAGAACATCATCCTGAAACATACAGGTCCTGGCATCTTGTCCGTGGCAAATGCTGGACCCAATGCAAACGGTTCTCAGTTTTTACCAGCACTGCCAAGACTGAGTGGTTGGATGGCAAGCTTGTGGTCTTTGGGAAGGTGCAAGAGGGCATGAATATCGTGGAAGCCATGGAGCACTTTGGGTCCAAGAATGGCAAGATCACCAAGAAGATCACCATTGCAGACTGTGGACAACTCTAATGAATTTGACTTGTTTTCTCTTAACCACCAGACCTTTTCTTCTGTAGCTCAGGAGAGCACCGTCCACCTCATCTCTACTCACTATGTCCCATAACCTGTGCTCTTGCTGCAGTCCTTTGGGTTCCATATTTTCCTTATTCCCCTCCAAATCTAGCTGAATTACAACGTTAAGTTTATGATTATGAAATAAAAGCTAACAACAACTACAAAATAATAGTCCAGTGGAACAGTGGCACACATTTCTTTACCTGTAGTCTGTGGCAGAATGGAATTGTTGCAGTGGAAACTGTATGTGGCCTGCAGACAGTAGAATACTTACTGCCTTGCCTTTTGCAGAAAAGTTCGCCCACTCCTGACCTACACCAGCAGCTCATCCGAGGGAGCTGGCATAGGAGATGTAGCCCACCTTCCTTCTTTACTGACTTTCTTACTGTGAGAGATTTTCCCCTAACAACACTACTTCCTCCAACACCCACTCTTTAGCTGTTAAGTACACCCTTGGAAAAATTCAAGCAAGCTTGGCGTTGACATTTGAACAGCAGTTTTTAGACCAGCACTTGGGGTGTGAGACTCATTTTTAGTGAAGTCATTCAGCACTGCCAAGTAGCTTCCCAAGCTTCTGGCTAGCTGGGTACATGTCCCTGTCACACAGGTCCCAAGAAACACACACACAGCCATACATAGACCAACAGATTTAATATTATATTGCAGTTTCCAGTGATGCAGAATGCAGCTACAGTTGTGTTTCAAGGAGAAGCCAAGTGGGGATGGCCGTCCCTGCAGCATGGTGCCACTCTTAGGCCCATCTGCAGCCTCAGGAGACACTCTTGATAGTGACGAGGCCCTGGCTCACCCTCTAGTTACCCTGTGCTGTCCATGTCCTTGATAGTTTAGTGCACGAGACATTTCGTTTTTCACCAAAAGCCTTCTTGGTCAGTGCTCTGCCGTTTAATCTGCTCATCAGCTCTTTGGCCTTGTTCTTTATCAGAAGGCTTGCTGAGTCACTAATGAAAATAACTCCCCCCAAAACAAGAAGTAAGATTGCTAGTTTAACTGGCACTGTGGTGTGTGAAAAGGCACAAGGGCGTTGTGACTGAACATTTTTTTCTACATCCCAAGAGATTCACATGATGTTTAAAAGGGATCTGGCAGAAATACCAAAATTCCATTTCAGAATAGTTATCTTGGGGTGGTTTGGCCAGAATTTTCTCATTCTCTAATATCTGGATTTTCTTCACCATCATCCTTCAGAAGTTTAATTTACAGACATGAGACAAGTGATTTTCTAAAAAGTGACAGGACAGGTAGTTGGAAGTCTGTAAGCTTGTTCATTGAATATCATAACTCCCATGGACTGGAAATTTATCCCTCTAGAGTTTCACCTCACATAAGCCATCTGCCCACTGCACGATAGAAAGGTGTTCCCAAGTATTTGGCCATAGATGTCCATGTCCATCATAAGGCTGGCATTCAATAAGGAAGAAAACCCTTCTGACTCTGGTATTCAATTGTATATATATCCCAAAGAGTCATAAGGAACACTCAGGGATGATTGTTGCCTTGGGTCAGTGAAAGGGTGGTATTGAAACTTGAAATTTCACCATCAGCTTTTTCTATCATTTCTTCGTAATTTGACAAAAGGAATCTTGGGGTCTTTGATTCCTGGCAGAGCTCTGTGGCTTGAGTCTGTCTTGAGGGGAACATTATATTCTTGATCTAGGTAATCAATTTGGCAACTTTAATCTGGAAGTTCTTAAAATTTACAGGAGGGCTAATAAAAATGATTACCTGTTCTTTTTTTCTAAATAGCCAACATTAAATGTGTAATAAAATATAATGTCTAAGTCATGTGGAAGAGTGTACTGTTTGTTACACCTGAAACACCACACAGTAAGGCCACTGGCACTGGGCTCCTGGGATTGTCACTGCTGCTATAATGTCTTCCATAAGATCTGCTGGTTGGAGGGTCTCTTGGCTTTTAAATAATAACCAGACTGAACTTCTGTGACTAAAGGAACACTTCACATTACCATATTATAAAATTTTCAACTACAACCACTAATTAACCTAAAACCTTAGTGCATAAAGAACTGAACCACAAAAGGGTTTTTTGGTGCCGCATTTGCCTTCTGGTTTCCACAGCAGAGCACAGGTTGTCAGTAGAACATGTCCAGTTCAAAAGGCGTGGTCTTCACCACCACACACTACACGCCACTCCGGCACTTGGGAATGATGGGCCCAGTCAAGTCTGCGAGCCTCCTCTTTCTCACTGGAAAGGAATAGAGATGAGCTGTCAGCCAGTTGTCCAATAGACCTGGAACCACCACTGTCACTCTGAGAAAGCACTGTGAAGCCTCTCGCGGATTTTTTTTTGTTAGCAAAAGTCTGAAATCTGTGCTGTTTTTCGAGGCTAGTTACATGTGAGTTGTATGACAGCCCTCCAGTGTGTCAGTGTCCACTGATGAGGGTCTGTGGTCTGTGGTAGGGTGGATCATTCAGAAGTTGTAAGTGGTTGCACGGTCCCACCCAACCCTATTGTTTTTCTTTTGCCTACAAAGTCCCCACAGTTGAGTATCTTTACTACAATTATAAGCGTTAAAGTCCATTTGACCTTAATGAGACTGAGGTCTTGACCTGGTGGAAACACTTCCCCAAGCTCTTTTTGGGTACTCCTGGCCTGCCACTCGCCTATGTAAACAACAGTTCCCACCTGATTACCTTACACTGTCTGCATCCGTTTATGTTTAACCTTGATGTTTCCCCAGGTGCGAGACAGGTTATGCTCAAAAAACTGTCCATGTGACAAAGTAGTTAAATGCCATAAAGAGGAAAGCACTAGCCAAGAAATCACAGGCTGGAGACATTCGCTTTTAGGATGACTGGGGGTGGAGGCAGAGGGGAAAGAGGTCCCTTTGCTGTAACAACGGAGAGTGTTTTGAAATGAAGTACAGTGTCTGTAGATGAAGGCCAAGCAGCAAGCCAGATCAGCCACAGGAGAAAGGAAGGTCAAGTCTGTAGAGCTGGTAGGTGGCAGTCAAGGGGCCTGCTGGCGTGGCAGAGAAAGAAAGCTATTGCCGAGGGAAAAAGTCTGTCTATACTTAGATGTCTTCCAGTTCCCGAGCTGAGCGGTAGACCTGCGGCCACCAGATCGATGCATACGAGCTGCAACAAGAACTGAATCAGCTTGTGCATGACACTGAGCATATTAAAGCAGACCCACCAGGAAGGCGTGTTACTACTCAGGTTGTGGCTGGGAGTTGGGTGGGGAGGAGGGGAAAGTTCTTGGGGGCATCTAGTCCAGGGTCTAGAGTTTAGCCTGTGCCTAAGCCCCTCCCCACCCCTCCACTCACATATCAAAAGAAAAATTCATGGCAACCAGAGTGCACAGTCTTCTGGAGAGATGACACTGTGTCCAGCCCAATATTGGGGACAAGTGGTGGGGAGCGAAAACCAAAACCCAAAGAACAGAAGAGGCTTGTTCAAAGCAACCAGTTTACATGAGCCAGACTTAGCTGTGCAAGTACGCCTGGCAGGGCAGTCTTCATTTCACCTCTCTTAACACACCTTATCTCATTGAAGCCCCTCCAACGATTCTGGAATGTTCTCGTTACCATTGCTGAAAGCAAAAATGCTAGGATTGGGCAGGACGAAGGTGTCTGGCCTCCGAAGCCGCAGTCCAGCACCTGCACACAGCTGGCCTTGTCTGTGCAGGGTTTACAGACCCGTCTGATTCTCACAGGGAGGATTAGCTCCTTTTCCCTGAGAGCTAGCCACTGAGCCAGGACTGAAACCCAAGTCCCTAGTCTAGGGTTGAGGGTTCAGAAAGGCACTGACGGTTGCTTGTTTTGTTTTCCAGAGCCCACATTCCACTGGGCTGCATCTCTGTGTGTAGTTTCCCTAGCGCTGGCCATTACAGTAACTGAAGGGAAAAGAGAAAGGCTATGTATCCAAGTAGGCCCCCTCCTCCCATTTTAACTATGAAAGAAACAGAGGCAAGAGTGTGAAGTAACTTGCCCCAAGGTCTGGTGAATAAGAGACAGGACTGGAGCTAAAAGCCAGGTCTTCCAATATCCTCCTTCAATTCAACCTGCTGCTTTCTGTTTTTTCTTTTACCTTTTTTTCTTTCTTTTTGACAAAGTCTCTCTGTACCATGATCCTGCCTCAGCCTCCCAAGTAGCTGGGATTACAGGCACGCACCACCACACCCAGCCTTTAGAACAAACTGGGACTCAAATGGCCTCAGTCTGCCAAGTAGTAACGTCAACCAGCACACACTATTTTCAAGAAAATAAAGCTGGGGTCTGGGCCATGGCACAGTGATAAAATGCCATGCTCTTTGAAGCAGACCTACATGGGAAGGTTCTGGGCTCTTGTCCAGAGACCTCGGTACACCAGCATATCGTGCCCATGGTCAGGTGCTGACTGGAGCTGGGGAATGGATTGTGGTGTTAAGACTCAGTTGGGGGCGCAGTATGTATTTTTCTCAGTCTCATGGAATAAATGAAAAATAAACGAGAAAGTTAAGTATCTCATCGTTTGTTATCCCAACAGCCAGAGATGTGTTATTGTCAGAGCCAAAAGGGATAGCAAGTCAACTGAACCAACTTCCACCTGCTTGAACTCCTTTACCACTTTTTGCAAACTTGGACATCATATTGGAGGTATTCAACTTGGCAAGAAGTAATAGAGCCCCAGTGAATAGAACTTCTATTCATCCATTCATTCATCTTTATATTTAGTAGCCTTTATTGAGCCATGTGCTCCTAGAGCACATGGAATCAGAAATAAAGATACAGTATAGCAGTGGGCCAAGATATGCAAACAGTAAGTTTGATAAAGTATTACAGGAACCAGACTGGCCTGTTGCATAGTTAAGGTTGCTGGATCCAACATGGCTAACTGTGCAGTTCGAATCCTAGACCCACCAGCTTGAAAAACACACTAGGCACATGGGCATGTGTGCCTCAAATCCCAATGTAATGGAGAAATGGAGAAGAGATTGTGGCATGACCTTTCCCCATGGGAGGTGCTATCTCACTTTCTCTGTCTCTGTCTCTGGAGAGCACACATGCCCTCCGATGAAAATTTAAATATATATTGCAGGTACCCTGGCAGATCTCTATGCCACATACAAGGCATACAGAATGAAGTGGTTCATCTTTTCAGATGGGCAGGTAACAGGTCAGCTAAATCTTAAGAAAAGGGTAGAAAATGGCAAAATAGGGGCATTTGGGGTAATGATCTGGTAAAGGTAAGCTTTTTCTGGGTCACTTGCTCAGGCCACCTGGAATGAGTGCTAGTAATATGGCACGAGAATGGCTTGTCGGGAAGGTGTCAAGAGGTGAAGCTGTTCCTCATCAAGAGATGATGTGCTGACGGGACCATCTCCTGATGAGGTGGACAGCAGAGGCTCTAGAGCCAGCCTGCAGTTCAAACCCCAGTGCTGGCCAGTGCCACCCACTGCCTGTGGGTAACTTCTCCTGCATCACCAGGCTTCCATGTCTTTACCACAAAATGGGGATAACAGCACTACATCAGCTGTAGTTGCAGGGAAGATTATATGGGTTAGTACCATGGGGAGTGTTCAGAACAGTGCCTGGCACACAGGAAGTGCTCTGTATGTGTCAGCTACTGTTATGGAGGGACGTGGTGGTCACACAGAGTTGAGCCTGCGAGCCCTGGGAGCCCAGTGTGGGTTCCAAGCAGAGGAGCTGAGTTTGGAACGAGCCACTGCTGCAAGGTGCCTGCCGTAGGGGAGCTGGAGACCAAGCCAACTTGCCCAGGGCTAGGAGTAAGCCAAGGCATTGATTGGGGTTGGCAGGGAGGTGATTGGCTGTAATTGGCGCACTGTCTCAGAAGAAGGCTCAGATTTCTGGGTATAATGGCTGTAAATAAAACCCCCTTTCTAGAGATGATTTCAGGGGGATGTGATGAGATTGACTTAGGATGTGCTCTGGGGTCTTGTGAGAAAGGTATTCCTTGAGAATATGGTTAAAGAATGACTTTCCAGGAAGGGCATGTTTCTGCTTCTAAGTTTGTTACTCTGTCTGCACGCCCTGCCCCTCCCCACACAACTGTCTCAGTGTGGAGGCTGCAATTCAGATTTTGTAAAGTGAAGAGCGCTTCTGTGGCAGATTTAGAGGACCTCAGAGCCATGCTTAGCCTGCTCTGAGCTATAAATAGTGTGGGACAAGAGTCATCTGAGGTATTGCTGTAGGTTAACGGAGGTGGGGATCCTCTGCTTCCTGCCCTGCTGCCCCTGGCGCCCTGTGCTCACACAGGACACTCCGGTAAGGGCTCAATGCATAGTGAGGATGGGCCCCAGCGGTACTGGCTGACCTGGTGGCCTTGGAATTGAACATCCACCAAGGAGGAGGCCTCCTTCCTCCAGTCACAGAGGCTAGGCTACCGGCCAAAAGCCAGCACAGGAGGCAGGCCAGAGTGGGAAGGAAAGCCGAGCAGCCTGCTCCCTTCTCCACCGTGCTCCCTGCTGGCGGGCCCTGCTGCACAGCGACTGCTGACAGGCATTGCTCCTGGAGGAGCTGGCGGAGGCTTTATGGTAAAAGTACTTGCCGGATACATAGAAGCCTGTCTGCTTCCCTGTAGCATCCAGAGCATGGATGAAAATGGAGTGGGGGAGAAAGGATTTCTCTCTTGCAGGAGAAAGCTGATGCACCATTAGAATTGGAAGTGTTTCTCATGAAAATGAGCCGATGGACACAAATTTGCTTTCAAAGCTAGAAACCCTCCATCACTAACTAGCACTCTGACTGTCACCTGGGGTCACTGAGAGAATTCTGCTCAAATTCCTTCTGAGGGAAACCCTAAAGGAAGCAGCTACACACAACTCCCTGGGGTAGCTCAGAGGCCTCTATTATCACCTCACATCTCTGTCCAGGAGTCTGCCATGGTCCCCACTTCCCACCTGCGTCCATTGCCAAACTCCAGAGCTTGGCTTTAGGGCTTTGGGCCCCAGCATCCTCAACACCTCTCCGGCCCCATTGCTTGTGAATATCCCATATACTGTCAACCCTCTTGCCTTTGCTAATGCTGTTCACTCTGTTTGGGATGCCCTTCCCTTCCTTCTCTGTGAACTCTTTCTAGGTCTAACTCTCTGTAACACTTCCTTCAATTCATTTAGATTTTTCTTTCTCCTATCCTGTGTACTGGGTCTTCCCACCTTCCTTTGTACGCCTACTACTTCTTCCTAATACTCCCTAGAACCCATGCAGGGTACCCCGACCTCCCCCGTCACCTATCTCTTCCTTTCAGAGCTGGCTAAATAATGTCCCACTCCCAACCCGGATGCTTTGTTTAACTGGCTTCCACCCTTATACATCACCTTCTCACTTGGTTTGGATAGAACCGGCAGGCATTTTTGCATTTTTAGGCAAATCATTGAGTCTTTTTTTCCCCCCCTAAAAGGTTGTACAGAGAACTAGCCTTCCTACTGCCCCATATATATGCATCCAGCACAGTCCTGGGCACACACACAGATGTTGCTCAGAAAATGCTTGCTGTCACTAACTAAGGGGACCTGACAGCCACCACCAGGCCCCCAGCCCCACCCCACACCAGCTTCTCTGTAAGGAAGGGGGCAGATGAGCTCTCAGTCTCTCCTAGCTCTGGAATTCTAGACTCCCACAATGGCCCCTGAGAGTCCTTGGTGGTGGGAGTCAGGCCTGATTTTGGAATTCAGACTCAGGATGCAAGAGTCCTCAAAGGTCATTTTGTGAAAGTCCTCGATGATTCTGGTATCTCCCCACAGCACCCCTGACCTCTGATCAGGGAAATCTGTCCCTTGAAAAACGACCTCCAGACCATCCTCCATTGGAAGACAAAAGCTGGGTTAGCCCAGAGGTAGGCACCGAGGGGCACATAAGAAGCTCAACCTAAACTGAGAGGGAAAAACATGTGAGACGATAGCACATTAGAGTAAAACGTGAGTGGCCAGCAGGGGGCCTAGTGGTTACAGCACTGGACTCCCATATGGCCGACCACAGTTCAAGTTCTGGACCTGGCAACTTGAAACTCAAGCTGGGTGCATGTACGTTTGTGTCCAAAATCCCAACAGGAGAATGGAAGAGAAGGAATTGTGGTGTGGCCATGGGGGGGGGGGGTGATTTCTCACTTTCTCTTTTTCTGTCTCTGGCGAGCACATGTGCCCTATAGAAAAAAAAAAAAAAAAGAATAAAATACAAGGCTTTTAAGTGGTGATTTATGCCCAGATTATAGCTGGGCTGACAAATTTTTGATTGTTGGCCTTCTTCAACAACTCAGTTTATCTCTCGCCTCTGTGATACAATCAAGTAATTATATTTTTCTAAATATTATTCATTTAATTATTCTTTTTAAAAATTTTGACCAGAGAGAGCGAAGGAAAGTGAGAAATCAAGCCACCAGGTTTGGGACTTGAACCGTGGTCAACCATGTGGAAGTCCAGTGCCCTACCTACCATGCCACCTGCTGGTCCCTCGATCACAATAATTATTATGAATTGTTTGGGTTTATTCTTATTTTATTTCAAATAAAGGTACTTCTGATAAACCATGACACTGTACATTTTTTTATCTGGGCTTTTCTAGACCTGAGACTCTAGAAAACAGTGGCGTCTGGTGTGAACAATGAATGAATAGCCTGTGAGCTGTGCTATCCTTTAGAGCAGAAACCTACATCTTCAATACCCAGGGCCTCATAGGACTTTGTTAAATGGTTGTGGGATCGAATAACTCCATCTACTGTGTGAGTGTGAAGGAGGGTGTGCATGGCTCTGCTGCTCTTATGAATGTAGGGTCTGTGAGTACCTGCCTTGTGCGTGTGTATGCACACCCACACACTCCTCTCTGTTCTTTCAGCCCTTCCGTGTGCTAACCTAGCCTTAGATGAATTACCAGGAGTGACATAACTGAACTTTGACCTGTGCTTTAGAGTTAGGCTCTTTGTATTTTATTGAGGGTTGGAAACCAGAGCGAGCCTACTGTAGAGCAGTTTTGAATTTGATGAAATGCTCACTAAAGACACTATCCTGTCAAACATGTATTTATTTCATAATTTAATTCCAGAAAGAAGCTTTTGAAAAATTATTATTTTGTAACCAAGTTAGGCTTCCTTCTCTAATGTTAATGTAATTTGGTTTGTCTTCTTCCTGCCTTGACTCTAGAAAACTCTGGCCTAAATATCAAGACCAATCATGTTAATAATGCTCACCTACCGCTTTTCTCTCCCTCTTTCCTGTTTTTCTATAGTCTTGTCAGCCATACTCCTTTCCTGTACACCAACAGGAACACACATAATCAGTAACTACGCAGAGCTCATGAACAGCTGGCCTCGGGAAGTAAGTTAATAGGTAAAACTTTTCATTCAGTTGATTTGTGTGCCTATTATATGTAGGCTCATCTTTGAAAAGACTGTGGCATTTTACTTACTTTTCTTTTATAAAAAAGCCAAACTATCCCAGGCCAGCCAGATAGTGTGGTGGTTAAGGTGGCTGGATCCCACATGGCTGGCTGTGTGATTTGAGTCTTGGACTTGAAGGCTTGAAAAACACAACTGTGTATGTGTCTATGTGCAACCAAAATCCTGAGAAGAGAATGGAGAAGGAATTGTGGCATGGTCATCCTCCCTCAAGGGGGCTGTGCTTTATCACTCTCTCTTTTTCTCTCTCTCTGGCAGATGTACATGCCCTGTAATAAATTAAAAAACAAAAACAAAAATGTTACCCTCTGAGACTAAATTATTACAACTTGCTCTAATTTACTGTAAAGTTGACATCTTAACCTTCTGCCTTAAAGTCAAAGTGAAGTTTCTTAGGCTCAGTGTTTTGGAAGCAGCGTTGATTGGTGGTTTTGCAATTTGGCGCCCAGAGCCAGACTGTCTAATCTAGAGAGGATTCTATGAGTTCAGAGAAGTGTAATCAGAAGAGGAAGAGACTCGTGGTGAACCTCGTGCCCTCCCAAATTCTGGGCCCAGCTTGTGCTGAGCTGTGCTAGGGGGAGTAGGGGACTCAACCTTAGCTCCTGCAGTCAGGGAGCTCACAGTCTGGTGGAGGAGATGAGGTACAGACAGAAAACAAAGATGGAGCAACGTGAAAATCAGGCATGAGACTGCAGAAGACTCCCTTGGAAATGGTATCAGTGGAGTTTTCCCTGACATACCCAGCCCAGGTGGAGTGAATGACAGGCAGGTGGGGCAGGAAGCATTTTCCACTCACCAAGGTCGTTGTTGCTCATCATCGCGTTGGAGGCCCGAAGCCGGGGACCTTGCTGAGTAAAGTGGTAGCCGAATTTGAGGAGTGTTGTGTTTTTCTCCAACATGCTCACGATCTCCATTTCTACTTTGTTGCCCAGGGGCTGGCTCTTTGGTTAAAAAAAAAAAAGAAAAAGAAAAGAAAGAAAGAAAGAAAGAACAGGAATCACCACTCATTCCATGTATGCTCTATCTAAACCACCTCTATATGCAGAAATTCTATATGCAGAATGAGGACTGCAGCCCCCTCTCCAAGAGTAAGGAAATGGAGTTTAGAGAAGTTGCAGGGTCATACAGCCTGGAATGACTGAATGGGGATTTGAACCCAGACTGCCAGGCACCGGACAGGCACAGATCTTTCCACTGTTCCACAAGAGCCTCTTTCTGAGCAGGGGTCTAGATAAGCGCTCCACTACATAATACTTGAACAGGGAGGACCTTCAAATCATCTAGTCCCAAGATTAGAAATTCTGCAGCCCAGGGTCTATCTCACACTAATGAAATCAGACTGTCGGGATGGGTCTCAGTGGCTGCATATTTTTAATGCTTCTCAGGTGGTTCCATTGTGTAGGCAACTTTGATAACCAGTAATTTAGACTAATTGACTGATGAGTAAAGAAATGGAGGCCCTGAGAAGGAACTGGATTTACCGTAGATTACACAGAAAATTGGAAATGCCCCAGCTAGCTTTCTATAGCTCCATTCTGATCAAACTACTAGGTCGTCGGAAAAGTCGGACACATTTTTGCATAGAAAAACAGAAAAAATATGTCGTGACTTTTCTGACAGCCCAATAGTTCTATGCCTCAATATCTACAGTGATCATTTCACAAAGATGAAAATAAAACAAAAACCAGGAAGACATTACAATATACAGTGATGGGAAGGCTATGATAAGGATGTTCATTACAGTCTTGTTTCTAACAGTGGGACAAAAGGAGAAACAAATGTTCATTAAGAGGAAGTTGCTCAAATAAGTGATGGTTTAACTTCACATCAAAACATGGGCAACTGGGGAACCAGCAGTTAGCATAATGGCTATGTCGCTGGACTCCCACGTAGTCGACCGCGGTTCGCGTCCCGGACCCGGTGGCTTAAAACTCACGCTGGGCGCGTGTGCGTGCGTGCCCAAGATCTCGAGAGGAGACTGGAGGAGAAGGGATTGCAGCGTGACCATCCCCCCTGGGGGATGATTTCTCGCTTTCTGTCTCTATGTCTCTCTCTGTCTGTCTGGCGAGCGCACACGCCCTATAGTGAAAATCTCTCCAAAAAAAAAAAAAATGGGCAACTGTAAAATGATGGTACAAAGAATGGTCTTTTCAAGAAGTGGTCTTGAGGGACCAGCAGTTAGCATAATGGCTATGTCGCTGAACTCCCATGTAGCTGACTGCGGTTCGCATCCCGGACCCAGTGACTTAAACTCACGCTGGGCACATGTATGTGCATGCCCAAGATCCTGAGAGGAGAATGGAGGAGAAGGGATTGCGGCATGGCCATCCCCCCTGGGAGGAGTGATTTCTTGCTTTCTATCTCTCTGTCTCTCTGGCAAGCACACAAGCCCTATAGCAAAAACCTCTCCCTCCAAAAAAGCCAAAAAACAAAAAACAAAACAAACAAACAAACAAACAAAAAACAAAACAAAGTGGTCTTGAGACAACTAGGTATCTACAAGCAAAAGTGAATTTAAATCTTTACCTCACACTATACACAAAAATCATCTCAAAATGGATCAAAGACCTAAATGTAAGAGCTAAAACTATAAAACTCTTAGAAGAAAACATAGGAGTAAGTTTTCATGACCTTGGCAATTTTTTTTTTTTTTTTAGATATAACACCTAAAACACAAACAGAAGAAAAAAAAATAGATAGGACTTCATCAAAATTTAAAACTTTTATGCTTCAAAAGGCACTATTGGGACCAGCAGATGGCATAATTGCTGGACTCCCATGTAGTCGACCACAGTTCGAGTCCGGACCTGGTGGCTTAAAACTCATGCTGGGAATGTGTGTGTCCATGCCCAGATGAATGGAGGAGAAGGGACTACAACATGGCCATCCATCCCTGGGGGGGTTATTTCTTGCTTTTTTGTCTTTCTGTCTCTCTCTCTGTCTCTCCAGTGAACACACACACCCTATAGCAAAAAATCTCTATTTTATAAAAAAAAAGATGGCACTATCAAGAAAATGAAAAGACAACACACAGAATGGGAAAAATACTTGTAAATCATATATCTGGTAAGGACTAGTAACCAGAATATATAGGGAACTATAGGAACTCCACAGTAAAACACAAATAATGCAATTTAAAAATGGGCAAAGGATTCGAATAGACATTTCTCTAAAGAAGATATGCAAATGCCTAATAAGAATATAAAAAGACATTCATCTTTAATAATTCATAAACTGTAAAAAAAATAATGACATTTGACTATGCACACATCAAGATGTCTATAATCCAAGCCGGATGGTGAGGCATCTATAATGAGACACTGCAATGTTGGACCTTCATGGCAAGGTCCCAGGTTCATGTTCTGAGGCTGTCCTGTACACACATGATCTGAGCTGGCGGAGGCTAGCCGTGTTTTGCAGCGTTAAGACCCTGTTAGCAGTCTATTAAGGCCCGGTGCAAATTAGTCCTCACTTTCCTTTTTTCATCCCTTATTCAGCCCGTTTACCTCTGATGATCTGTACATGGTACTTGGTGCAGTCAGAGGTCTATTCCTAAAAGCTCATGTATTTTCCTGCCTCCAGCTGGAATGCCCTTAACTCTCCTCTACATACCTGCTGATATTAGTGCTTTAATATCCATTGCAAATCCCCTCCACCTGTGAGGCCTATTCTGATCCCAATCCAGGAAATGATCCCTCCCCATTCCACAATTGGCACAGCGGATGTCCCTCTCCATCCAGTACAGTCTCGCAGCCTTATTTGGATCACTCTGTCTCTCCAACTAGACTTGTGCAGTCTAGTACAGTAGCTACTAGCCACATGTGGATCTTTAAATCTAAGTAATTAAAATAAAATTAAAATTCAGCTCTTCAATTCCACTAGCCATATTTCAAGTGCTCAGTTACCACTGGCTAGAGGGTGAGATAGTGGTCAGTGCAGATCTAGCGCATTTGCGTCATCACAGAAAGTGCTGCTGGACAGTGCAGGTCTTGACTGTGAGCTCCCTGATCCCATCCAATATCTCTTGGTCAAGGTTTGAAGAACTGAACTGAATGAAGAAAATTGAAACACACTTGGTGGACAGCAACACAGGAGCGTTAGAGGACATGTCAGCCCAACATCCCAATGGGCAAGTGTGAACTACAGTTGAGACTGTTGACTGAGAACTGCTCCTAGGTATTCTGGGTTTACTGGTGCTCATCTGGGTTCATACTGCACTGGGAAAGCTGACCATGGCAGGCAGAGGAACACTGGTGAAATTCCATCACTTTATCTGGCAAGATTCCTGAGAATGCTAGGAAGAACTCGGGCTTGACCTTGAAGGACTCAACTCAGCCTTGGGCTGTGGACAGCTTGGCCTGGCAGAAGGTGCAGCAACCATCTGAGGCCTTAAGAAGGAACTGGCAGTGCCCTCTGGCCACCCCATTCATCAGGAAGCCTGGCTTCTCCTTGAGGTCCTTTGCTGGGAAAGCTCAACTAGAACAAAGGATGAGCCAGTCTCAGAAATCACTGGTCTTCTCTGACTAAAGAGGCTGCCAGGGATGGCCAGGGCTGCCTCTGCAAAGTGAACATTTCATGCAGCTTGGTCCAGAGTTTAAACCCCTTGAAATGAGTTGCCCTCATCCAACCTGCCTATGTCCCTGAGAGGTGAGCAGAGCAGGTAGGAACTAGCATCTTACCATGCCCATCTTAGAGATGAATAAACTGAGTCTATGTATAGATGAACCATGGCCTTATTAATGACAGAGACAAGGTTTGACCTTGACCTGGGGCTGGAAGATTACAGAGAATGCACTGTGGCCCAGGTTCTCGTATTCCAGTCCAGTATCCCTAAGACACATGCAGATAGGTCTAGGTGTGAGCCACAGGGCACAGAGTTCCATTAGATAATCATGGCCAATCTTTCTGGAGTGGTAATCTGAGAACAAAATTACTATTTTTACAATAAGGAGTAAAATAAAAAATGTGAATATATCTTAAAATAAACCTCAATATTTAAAAGAAGCTTCATTCCTACTTTATTCATAGACTTTGAGACTAAAAAGACTCATTCATTTCATAGATGAGAGGAGAGGTGGTAACTAGGGAGCCAGGCCTAAAACCCAGGTCTCTGACTTACTCCTCAGATAGCTTATTATTAGTGATTACTGTGTGCTAAGCAATATTATAAGCATTTTGCAAAGGCCAACTCATTTTCTTCTGTCAATCTATAGACTATGTACTGTTATAATTTACATTTTACAGACAAGGAAAATGAAGTGGAGAGGTATTAAATTTTCCTAGAATCACAGAACTAGTCAGTTGCAGAACCAAGATTTGAACATAGGCAATGCTCACCTCACATGAGCACCTTTGATAAAGCTCTGAAGGCAGAAGTAGGACTGACGGGAGCAACTAGAAGCAAATGGAGTCTGGCTCAGTATGCAAGACTGTGGATCTACATACCCGCACACTGAAGGAACTCCCCGATAAGGTGCTGAACTGCGAAATATGAGGTGTGGAAATATGAGAGGGTAGACGAGCTCTTTTGAGGGCCTAAATATCATCACTAGTGGGGAAGGCTTAGCTTCATGACCTTTAAGGCTCTGGGGTATGCACCCTGTGAGTCCATGAATAGCTTGCTTGGATGGCATAAAAAATCATGAGGGCAACCTTAAGAGTGGTGAAAGGCAGTGAGAAGCCCTGGGGGGCAGACCAGGGGGCAGTCATATCAGGAATGGCAAACACAGTCACTGTGCAGCTGAGCCAGGGAGAGGGTGACTGGGAAAAACTCTTGCCACCCTTCAGACCTGCTTCGGAATTAAATAAATCACTTGTGGATAAATATAGTCTCATTATTAAAAATTCAAATGATACCGAAGAGGGTAGAATAAAATGAGAGTCTCCTTTCCTACCATTTATTCCCAATCTTACTCCCTTTCCACCACCATGGCGGGACCAG